TGTTTTTTATTATTATTATTTTTTCTATTTTTTATATTTCACTTCATTTTCTCTTGTATTCGTTTTTTTCTTCTTAATCTTGTTTTTTCTTCATTGTCTTTTCACCTTTTAGCCCTTAATAACGAACATACTAGCACACATCAAAACAATGTTGTGGTATATTTCATAGTGCCATTGTATCTACCTGTGAATTGCAAAAGAGTGGCCATGAGTTTGTTTGCCCTTTCTTCTCATAAGGCTCAACCCCTTGGAAACGGGCGGTTGTAGATCGGCACAGGCATATCATAGATTTTGTATGGGTTTGATTTTTGTTAAATTTATTTGGTTACTATTTGACAAAACAGAGATTGTTGCTTTTGTGTGTGTTGATCTATGACTTTAGAGTCTACATGTAAGACGATTTCAAAAAATTTTGGAAATTTTATGAAATAAAGAAAGTTTGAGTTTGAGTTTGCAAAGGGACCTAAAAAACCCACTACTCGTATTCTAGTACCTCTAATAACATATATCTTCAATCTCTGTATACAGAAAGGTATCTTCCCAGACTGCCTAAAAAATCTATTGCCCACCTAGTTCGTAAGGGAGGGAGCAGAAACTGTGTCAATAATTATAGACCTAAAGTAAAAATAAAAATGTAAAAAAGAATAACCTTAAAGAGTTTCTTGTGCAGGTACGGCGTCTTAGCTGATAACCAGTACGGCTTCCGAACTGGTATCTCAGCTGAGGACGCCGTACTAGACCTCACACAAACTATAGCGAAAACACTTGATGACGGTTATAAATGTCTAGGCACAAGCCTTTGACACAGTTTCTGCTCCAAAACTAATAGCGAAGATTGAGTGTATAGGAAACGTGGAACAGCGTTGAAAAATTTAAGGATTACCTCAGAGATCGTTCTCAGCAAATAAAAATAGGTGCTATACACAAAGATGAAGAGTGTGTATTCTATGGCGTGCCGCGGGGAAGTATTCTAGACCCCACACTCTTTCAGATATACATGAACGATCTGTGTAAAACGGCCATTCCGCAGTGTAAGATATATGCCTATGCCGATGACATAGCGATTCTGATTAGCGGACGTACCTGGCAAAGGGACAATTCAATGAAATGGCTCAACAAAAATTTTATTACCCTGAACTTAGAAAAAACTTGTTACATCATTTTTTTAATCAGTCACACTACCAAAGCTCCCAACTCCTTCGCTATAGTAGCGCATTCCTGTTCCGATTCATTTTTACCGTATTCTTGTATAGCTATAAATAGGACCAAATGTGTCAAATATGTGGGGGTACAAATAAATGACGGGCTGAAATGGGATCATCAAATCATCATGTCTCTACAAGAGTACTCCGTCTTATCTTACATGTCTTCGAAGCTCTTAGGGAATATGCAAACCTTGACACTTTGAAATTGGTCTACCGCGCATTATGCCAATCCATAATCGGATATTGTACGACAATTGTATGTTACCCTATCAGTGCTGAAGATATACAGCAAAATTCCCCCATCTAACCCAAACAAGCGCACACACATCCTACGAAGAGTCAATCACAGAATAAGTTTCGACAAGCACCAGTTTTATGTTTTAAGTACACATATTTACCAAAGAGTACAAAAACACGTTAAGTTAGAGACTTAAATAAATTTAAAATCCGAACAATAGTCAAGGAATGGTTACTACTACAGAACTACGTCAAAATAGAATCTTTACTAGCCCTCATCTCACACACACCCACCCACCCTTACACACACATTAACATCGACCCACACACATATTGCTACTATTATCCTCTTTAATATTATTCCACGAATTACATACACCACAATAGGTATCAAGAATCAAAAATAATTTGACTCACACTCGACTACTTTTAGAGATCAGACTGTAATCATTGGGCCGAACACTGTTTCCTAAGATACAGGCCTCACGACCTAGATAGATAGATAGATAGATAACTCTTTATTTGCACACTAAATTACAGAGTTACAAGAATGGAACACAGCGATCAAATATCGAGTGTACAAAGGGCGGCCTTATTGCAAATGCAATTTCTTCCAGGCAACCTTAGGATGGATCAAAAGTTGCAGAGAGACAGTAGTAGTTGAATATCTGCATTTGTGAAACTACTATTAGTTTATTATTATCTACTATACATATTACATATACTACACATATTATATTATTTACAAACATTTACAATTTTTATACTTACATCTACAATGCATATCACAATAAATAAACCTACATATATATAAGTACCTACATACTATACCAACAAATATACAGATACACATAAATATATATATACGCATTCTTAAATGAATAAACATATAGAAAAGAGAAACAGTTTCGTTACACCCTCAAGCTCTCTATTTCCTCAAGCACTCTAGTTTAGTTTAGAGACAGGGTTTCAGGTTTAATTTTATTTTCACATTTTCGTGTAACGTTGCAAAAGGTTACGGCCGATTTCTTTTATGGCCGTCAGCTTTAGGATTGAAGTTGTTTTGATGGACCAAGGGAAGAAAATCAAATTGGGTAAGGAAAATTGATAGGACAAGAGACCTATCGTAGGTAAAGGACACCACAAATCTCGGTTGGGGAAGGGAACTAAGACTGCAGTGGATCGAAGAGGCTAGGGTTAACTAGCCATTCACCACAGCGGCACAGCACCTTAAGTTACAACTGGCTCTCCAAATTTTCATCCATCCTAAGGGGCTATCCTTAAATTACATCACATGTTAAGGAAAGGGGGTCGACGAATTGTAAGTCTCGTTACGTGCTGTAAAATTTCAAAATAAGTGACGTCACCTTAGTCGCGGTGGCGGAGTCTCAAAAATTTTACGTTAATGGTACGTACAAGGTCTGGGGTCAAGGTAAAAAAAACATGAACTTCAATTTTTAAATTGCCCCTAAAGTATCCTGGATGTTATTACATTCAGCAAAAAGCCGTCCTTTGTTTATAATCTGTTTACTTTTCTACTTTTATTGTGACAGGGGTGTAAAAATAAATAATTATGGAGGGTGCCCCCCTAGTCATGTCCCCAATACCCTCCTTCCTGGGTTCGTACCGTTAAATGTACCGTAATCGTACTATGGCAGGCACCGGCAATGTCTTTCTATTTATAAAATGTATTAGGTGAGTTTATACACACAATACAATAAACATAAAACCACAAATACCAACTGACCTACAGCGGGCTATTAAACAAAGCTAAATGGAAATAATTTTGAAGACTAGCCAGTAATTATAATAATTTTAATTACAATTACATGATAAGTTTACTAATTATAACTTTGCTGTCCTGCCGTGTACCTACTGCCCGCCGGGGTCCTCAATGAACTTTAATAACTACCTAACCATGTTTAAGCCATTAAAGTGTGCTATAATTGTATTATCTATTAAATATAACAATGGAAAATATAACAAAGATATTGAGAACTGTCAAGAGTTCAGGGCTACCTTCAATAATAATAACCTTACACATCTCACACACAGCCGTCTGATCCCTAACTAGGCAGAGCCTATTTCAGATAACCAGACTACTGATAAAATACTTTTCTCTACTATTAAACATGTTCACGTATGCGTGAACATGTTGTCAAAAGAGCTTTAATTGGTATATTAAAACAATTATTTACTGTAAATGTATGATGAACTCTAAAAAGCTCAGGGTGATTGACCTTTACTGTGTTCAAAGCAAAAAATAATAGCCAATCGCGTTTGACAGGTCTGATAGGAGGTAATGTACGAACTTTGTACCTAGAAACGACTTCGGACGGCCGGTGAACCTCAATACCAGATTTTTGGCACACATCAACTTTGTCTAAGCTGTAATAATGTTACTTTTACATATATTTTTATACTGTTGTGTGCCTACACAACTGAAACCAAATCATCGAACTTCTTGTCTTTAATTGATTTTAAAGTTGATTGACTAAATACTTGAATCTTAACAAGGATCCAAACAGGTTCATTTTCGTTCAATGACCATTACTTTAAAGAAGCGTTCGTACTTTAACCCCATTATACACTTATTATAATTTTATAACGTCAACAACACTAATAGTTACATAAATCTATAAAATATGCTTTAAAATCTAAGGTTTTAAGGATTAATTAATTTATAAAGGACCACGAAAATCAAATATTGTGTCACTGTATTGGAATTTTTTCTACTTCTACTAAGAGACCTTAATAGCTTCTGTTAGTCAACTGATCAGGTCCGTAAGTAGCCACACAGTTTACGTAGCTTAACAAACATTACGCGTAGTTTACGCAATATTCGTTGAGACATTCTGCACAGATCACCAGGCCTTTCTATCAGTACTAGTTAGGCTGCCCTAACCGCGTCTTGTGGCAAGTGTCGAACTTCATCAATGAACTTGACTATAAACGAACCGACAATTCCATTGAAATGACAATTTATATATTAATATTCTTTGCGGTATAACTTACATACATCCAATCAGTGTGTTGTGTTATTCGGAAAACGGGTTAATAATTGGAATTAATATTTATAATTATATGTAGGATTTTTAGTGGTTTAGTGTTATCAAGTACACCTTCATTGCGTTACGTATTCATTATGTACATGTGATATGGGTAATAGCTAGTGATGTACTAAATCCACTAATACGAGTCGTGTACGGACCTCCAGTGTTTTGTCTCATTCAGTGCATTTATACATGACCTAAAAAGACGAATAATGTTTTAATTGCGTGTGTTTAATTATTAATTATTATTATTACGTGTTAAAGGTTAATTGAATATCCTCCAAGAATACCGGACATATATGTCCGGCTATTACGGCCAATAACATGAAAATAAATTCAATGCCATAATTAAATAACATTGCCCCCGATACATAAAGGTTTTAACACCAGTACGGATATCTTGTACAGACCGGTATCTACATCACGGAGAAGTCGCGCCTTAAGCAGTCTCAGTACACAATCAGGCCTGAAGACAAAATTATGTGCGCCAATTTAAAAAGGAAATATGTTAAATAAAAAGGAGGTTTTAATGGTGTTTTTGTGTGTACAGTGTGTTTATACAGCGTTCGTCAGGTACACCCCTATTGTAAAAGTTGCTGAAGGAAGGTTGAGGGGTATTCGTGACCTCAACAGACAGAACCAGTATTTCGGGATACCTTACAGCATCAGCGAGAGATTTCAAGTAAGTTATCTTAAGTAATAATAACTTGATACATCACACAGCCGGCTGTTCCCAAATTAGGCAGAGCCTACGTGACCTGTCTGCTAATAAACATTTCATAACTATTATTAAGGCATAGATTTATGACGATGGATGTATGAATGTTACTCGATTACGCAAGAACAGCTAAACCGATTTGAATGAAAGTTAGATTTTAGCGTAAAATAGCACGTATGGGTTTTACCCAAGAAAAAAGACATTGACCTAAGCGAAGCCGTAAAAAAAGGTCCTCATATATTTCTAAAGGCGTAACTAATTATAGCTAAATGGCCTGGGGAAACTGTACAAATGATTGTGCTAATTACACTATTGTTAAATTGTCCTGGGTGGGAACTGACCCCTGCCTAGCAGTCAGGATCACTGATCTTTAGCGCAAAGGGTCAATTTAATGCAAAATTAATGTGCATAGGTATTATAAACCATATGCAAATGTCTGTAATAAAGCTCTGGTCATATTTAGCCATTACTATGCGGTTCTTTTAAGCCACATCAGGTAAAATTACCATACACATTATTTCATTTGTCATGCCTGTGTTTTATTTGATCTGACTATGAATAAGTATATTAGGAAACAGATTTATCGGTGCTCACGGATGATAATTATAATTTTACACAACGCACACACGACTGTCTAATCCCAAATTAAGCTGAGGTAACTGGACTGCTAATAAACATCTTAATTATTTCTAAATATATTACATATTATAGATAAATCACAACAACAAAAATGATCATGCTCGTCATACAATTATATGTCCTGGGCGGGAATTAAACCAATTACCTATGGCTTAGCAGTCATGGGTATGGATATGGGTCAATCACCGCTAAAACAAAAGGCACAATGTTTAATTATACGGTAACAGTTATCAATGTCTTATGGTACATTTCTTCAAGCTAGTATCATCCATAGTATCCGTCTGGTGACGGATTAAAAATACAGAGTGTCACCACCCCTATTCATCCCGTGGGTGTCGTAAGAGCCGACCAAGGGAAAAAACTACGCGAACAACAACACTGCAGAGAGAAAGAAAAATTTGACACAAACCCTATACCAACCCGTCTGGCCAGCGTTTTATAGTAGGCCAAAACCTCCTTTCTAAGGAGAGGCTTTTGTCCAGCAGTGGACTATTAAAGGCTGTTGATGAATGTATGTTATGCATACTAAAATAATTAAGATGTAGAGTTTTAATTACGTCAATATTTCGAGCCCAATGATAGTAAATTACTTTCCTTTGAGGTCCAACAGTGGACTATTAAAGGCTGTTGATGATGAAGCTAGTATCAGTGCCTGATACTACTACTAAGTACTAAAAAAGTATTAGAAAGTTGTAGCCTGTCTGTCAATATAGATCGAATTCAGGTAAAAGGTTAAATATTTATATGCAAAAAGTTAGTTACTGATGCGTTTTTGCTGTTATGTATTTAGTATAAAGGAAATACCATACTCAAATTAGTATTTGATTCCTAAAATCTCAACATTACTCGACATAATCAGAAGATGGGTGAAACCAGAGAACATGGCTAGTATATTCATGTTAATATTGTGGTGTCACTGTGTAGTAAGAATTATTCAAGTTGCGGTTGGCGACTCACGAGGTTTTCCATCGTGAAGTCCGGGATTCAATCTATATGCTTAAGTATGTTGTTATTTCCTCATTTTACTATTAGAGAATTCTCAACCGTAGTATGGAATTTTGTAACGTGCCCACTGCCCAGGGGTAGTACAATTTCTCAGTGTTGTGTTATGTGCCTGAGTAGGAAGGATAGGTCACTCCATAGTTATTTGAACTATAAATAATTCCAAGCGGTACTACTTCAAAGCATTGAACAATGTTTTTTTACTTTTTCAGCCACCTAAACCACCTAGGAAATGGAGCGGGTTGTTCGAAGCAGTGCAACGGTTCTCATCTTGTCCACAAAATGTTGCCATTTTCAACTTTGGCACAGAAGACTGCCTAAAGCTCGACGTCTACACTCCAGAACATGCCTCAATAGGCCAAAAACTTCCTGTTCTAGTCTTCTTCCACGGCGGAGCCTACTATTACGGTGCTAAGTGGCATTACAACCCTGAGTTTCTAGTCAAAAAGAATGTCATAGTAGTAATAGCTAATTATAGATTAGGTGTTCTAGGGTTCCTCTGTCTTAATAATGTAGCGAACCTCGGTTTGAAAGACCAGCTAGCAGCTTTACGCTGGATACAAAAAAACATAGCAGCTTTCGGAGGAGATCCAGACAACGTGACTCTTTCCGGCCACAGCGCAGGCGCAAGCTCTTCCTCAATGCATATTCTATCGAAGAGAAGTAAGGGATTGTTCCACAAAGCTATACTACTAAGTGGCGCTGCACTTACTCCCTGGGCATTCAATTTAGACCCATTAAGACCAGCCTACGAAGACGCAGGCAAACTAAGAAAAGTCCAAAATGAAAGGGAAGTGTACGACACATTCCTAAAAGCTTCTCTTCATGATTTATTGGCCGTTAGCCGTGGTATCTCCATCGATCCCAAGTACTTTAAATATTCACCCTGTTATGATGGCAACCTAACTGATGTCTTCTTCCATGACACACCATACAACATCATTAAATCAGGAGATTTCAATAAAGTTCCCACGATCATTGGGTACACTAATCTGGAAGGTGTTTTGTTTTACGGACTGAATAACCAAAAAAATTTATATTACTTAGATAATACATTACCAGACAGACTGCCATCGACATTTTCTTGGTGTTCTGAGAAAGATAAAAGAAGAATAGCTGATAAAATTCGTTCGCACTATTTCGGGACACAAAGGATAAATAGCGGAGCGTGTACAAAAGAACTGATCAATTTGTATTCGGATTGGATAGCTTACGCATCAATAGATGCGTACTCGAGGCTAATGGCCAAATATTCGGATAAACCGATATACAACTATATGTTCTCGTACGAAGGCAATAGAAATTTTGCTAGTTTTTTGTTAAACAGTTTTGGGATCCCTGGAACCACTCATTCGGATGATATATTTTACCTGTTTAAGCCTGGTGGGATCACTTTTAATGATAACAATTTGGATAAGCTGATGATAGAGATGTTCACCACAATGATTACCAACTTCATGAAATTTGGGTAAGTTTTGTCACATTCAGTTTAATTTTCTTATTAATCTGGAAATCATTTTTACTCACTAAAAACTAGTATACTTGTACTATGAAAGCTAGATTGACTGATAGAATACTTATATACTTGTAAATACATACATATTATACATATAAAACACCCAAACTTCGAAGCAAATATTTATAAATCATACAAACACTTACTTCAACCCCGAAATCGAACCCGAGACCTCAGCACAGCAGTCGCATACGCTACCACTGCACTATCGAGGCAGTCTGCCCGTACCCCGTACCCGTAAACAACCCGTAACTATTCATCACAAGGTTATAAAACTCATAAACTAAATAGATAGATCGAATAACTAATTAAAGAATGTGGTTTAAACAGACTGTTCTGACACTTGTAATCATCCATTATTTCTAATATGAAACTCTTATTTATATAACAAGTATGTAGTAGTGTGGTTCTCCTAAACATGTCTCTTAAGCCGATTCCACAAGTCCATACTCTCGTGAGTGCGTGTTGTAGATGCACGATTCGCAACGAGAGATTAGTTGTTTAGTGACTTTTGATTAGTGCTGGGTAAAAAAACCTACTCAGAACGGACTATAAAGGAGACAAGTCTTCTTGGTGTGTGTGGATAGTGGTGGTGGGGAGTAAAATGATTAGGTATATCATGTTGTCATCCAAGTCGATGTTATGTTGTTTAAGAATATCTGAGTAGATCTGGTACTTATTAACGCTTAGTACGACTACATAGATGGGCAGAGTAACGCATTAAGACATCGTGTGTACGGTATGGTGTGTACATGTACACACTGCGGTGGCACGTCCAACAGTTTTATTACAACACACGAAACAATCTTAGGTTATTGGCGTAACTGATGAAAGTAATCAAAGGCTTATGTGGCTTGTATTCACTTTGTTTAAAGTAAAAGTATGTATGTATGGTAGGTGACTACCGCCGCCCATGGACACCCTGAAGTCAAGAGACATAAGTGCATTGCCCCAAGAATCAGAAGGGAGGGTAAGGTTACCGGAGCCCAAAGTATTTAGGCTCTGGTAACAACGAATGGCTTAACACCGGTTTTCTGTCAGGCCGTGGTATCACTAAGGTAAAGACATGCCAGTATGTGTCGAAGAATGACCTCCTTCGTAAAATTTGGTTTACAATTTATAAATAGACACATATTTTTCATATTAATATAATAAATGCGAAAGTGTGTCTGCGAAATTTGCGATTTAGTTTGAGTTCGGGGAAAGGACATCATCCTTTTAGGGGGTAAAAAGTTTGTATGGGAATCAACAACCACTGAATCAATTTAGATAAAGTATGATATCGAGTTTGAGTTGTAGGGAAGGACTTGGGCTGCTTTCACCGCTATACATGTGGACGGAGCCGCGGGTAAAAGCTAGTAATGTAAATAAAAAGGATAAAGAACAAATGATCGTACTCGTCATACAATTAATTGTCCTGGGTGTGCATCGAACTTTCAACCTACGGCGAGCAGTCAGGGTCACTAGCCTCAAGACCAATCGACCCGTCGATGACAAACTGTAATCCGTCAATTATAAAGTTGTAATTAAAAACAAATAATAGTTTTCTCTAACCAATATTACGAGTACAAACTACACTTAATTTGGGTCTAAATGATACTACTGATACTGATACTGATATGATATGTCAAAACCGTACAGTTGTGTAGAATATATCCCGCACTAGGAATAAATCCTGTGTCGCGGGGGACTTTACAAACATACACGAAACGGACACAAAGTACACCCAGACTCATAACAACAATTTGTGGATCACACAAAGTGTTGTCCCATGTGGGGTTTGAACCCACAACACTCGGCGCAATAGGAAGCGGCGTGGCGACCGCTTAAAGCACTACGCCATTAGTGCAATCTAATTAATATTTCCATAACATTCGTACAATATTATCTCAGTCACAGTGTGTCTTGAGACGAGACGACACAGTTTGTTTTGCTTCCATCTCTTAACAACACAGGATATAACTGTACGATATGTTGCCAACATTAAATACACATCATACGTACTATTTGTTTATTAAATTATTTCCGTAAACATTATTCTTAAAATAAATTAACGGTTCACATAAGCAAAAGATACATGTGCCGTTGTCTTCTTAATATTTTTGTCTTTAAACTACAACTTTAAACCAATATGGCGTGTTATTTTCAATTTTTCGATTATTTCCAGGGACCCTACACCGACAGAATCGAAGCTTATCCCCATGCGTTGGCCACCGATCACCGCGAACTGGACGCAGGTGATGAATATAGACCACCCAATGTCCGTCATCGATACCCCTGACAGATACAGAGGGGGTTTCTTCTTGGAACTCCTGTGTGAATTTGGCCTAAAAGGCTATGTGCCTTGTGAGAGTGCCATGCATTGTAATTTAGACGAGTAAATAATAACAATAATAAAAATATTGTTTATTGTCTCACAAAAACGTCAACAAAAAATCAGGATGTCAACAAATCGCCTTGCATTCAAGAGAAAAGTGCGCAATCTTCTTCGAGGTGAATTGGCGGAACAGTTACAGCGCTAGTACCCGACTGAGTATTTATATATTTTATTAAATTTATGTAGGTTTATGTATACATGTGTGTTTAATATTGTGTATGTTGACCTTAATTATGTTAAATTTAATATTTTATTTTGCACCTACCGCATCATATTTCTACATCACCTGAAGGTTGGCTGGGAGAGAATGCCTAATGGCATTAAGTACAATATGTTTAAAATAAATAAATAAATGAAAACCGAAATACAATAAACATTTAGATTACGTTACATTTGACAATTTTGTTGGGTAGCTTGTATGTTAGGTCGCTGGTGCCTGACCTTAATTAAATGGTTACAATATTGTTGAGCAATAAAAATACAATAACTAAAAGAACAGGGTTTGTGTGTGTGCGTCTTGTCTATGCCTATGTGTGTGTATACGTGTGTATATACATACGATAGGTCTGCTACCCCTTTTTTACGTATGGAAACCCCTTCAGGCCATTCCCCCAGTGAGGTTTGTGGCGGGATGGTGTATCGGAATCGGACCGACTAAAACCACACGATGTGCCACTCTGCGCCAAGGTCTACCACAAGGTCTTGGGATAACATCTGTGTATACATACTTATGTGCGTACACCAATGTGTTTGGGAGTTTTGTACACTGCCTTTGCAAGTGTTTGGAAATGGATGCGCCATGCTTGTTTTACCTACTCTAAGACCATTAGTCTTCCGTCTCCTTATATGATTGCTTTAAGAGCCATTCTGACATGATGGTTTTTCAGTATGGATGGACTTAGCGACAAAATTTTGTGCAATTTTGACGTGACAACGTCTTATAATTCGATGGAGCCGGCTGCACGCACGAAAAAACATGACGCATGCGGCGTAACCTCGCTCTGAGGCGTTCCATTTAAAGCTTGAAGTGCAAGCGAGAGCGCGGAACGAGCGACAAAGAGGCACAATCGGCCTCCGCATTCGGCAGCATTCGACATATGTCTCTCTCCTACTTGAGTCAACGATGCGTCCGCGTGGACAGCTGCTATACAATAATACATTTACATGTTTTCGTCAAGTGTGAAGCGTAATTAAAATTTTACTTTTGAAAAATGCAACCATTCCATCAGTATTTTCTTATGACGTTGTCACGTTCAACTATCGTCAGTAAACCGACTTTACAGCCAACCGATTTTTTTTTATATCATGTAAGGCCCTAGAAAAATACGGAATCTACGACTAAATGAAGTTTTAATATGCAATGATAGGACCACAATATTATTACGGCGAGTAGTTTCCGGGGTGTAGTACGTTAGAGAGTGATATTTGAGAACGATAGCTTTCACGAACAGTTGCATTAGAGTGAGAACTTGGACAAATTAATAAAACCTTTTAGCATGATACAACCGAGGCTTGAAACAGTAAACCTTTAGCAATACTCAAGAGCCCAAAGGGGCACACTCAAACCGCAAAGTGTTAGATTTAGCAGCATAACCCCATGTGGTAATTCAGTAAGTCAAGGTGGATTGACATAGACCCGTGTAGCCCATTTTCGATACGTAACCGCCAGCAAAGTGTCAAAATATTTACGCATATAGATAACTTTGCGTATTCTACTTGATATTTATTCAATGTGATTTTTGAAGATTAGGTTATTTTCAAAATAATTATACCTAAATATTGAATGGATGTTACTTATTCTATAATATAGAAGTCACTACCAGGAACATTATCTAGGTAGGTTAAAGGTTAGTCGTAGGGAATTCTCGGATTTGGGGCGCGGATAGACAAGTAAATTACTTTGGTTTTCTTAATATTTAGCGTGAGTAGATAATTTTTTATCCAATTGACCTGTCTGCACGGATCGCGTGGTGGTAAGCGGTCGCCACGCCGCTTACTACTACGCTGAGTGCTGTGGGTCCGATCCCCACATGGGACAACACTTTGTGTTATCCACAAATTGTTGTTCTCATTCTGGGTGTTCTTTGTGTCCGTTTCATGTATGTTCGTAAAGTCCCCCGCAACACAGGATATACTCTTAATGCGGGAGTTGTCTTTTAATAATAAAAAATGAAAATTATTAACCACATCGAAACCCTTTTGAGCGAAACGTTATCCCTCCTATCGTCTGATGAGAAAGCTAGTGAAAATTGCTCCATGGTGGAATCTGGTAAGATTCTAAAGTTCTTTACAAATTAATCCACTATTAAATTTTTTTTTTTTTTTTACCGAACAAACCCAGGAATATCAGTAATGGTTGTATGTGTGTAACAGGGTCTTTTAAAGTGTTCGGCTTAACATAAGATATTTCAATTGAATTAATCTAATAACACATAGTCATGCACCAAATATACGAAACACAAATCATATATTAATATATAACTACGATACCTGTATTAATATAATGTATTTTAAGTTATTACGTATGTTCGACGAAACTCATATTTATGTCAAAAATATATTCACGAAATTCATCCAACATTATGATAGTACAACTAAGAACATTACGATTCGAGAGCCCGTGTATATCCACCTACATACGTCGTTATTGCCTCATAAATTTCCAATTCAGTTTAAAATACCCCCCAAGATTGCGGTCGAATGTTTTGCAAAATATTCCACGACAGTACGAATGCAAAGCAAACAACTAGTGTGGTGATGTCGACGGACCCTCGCATGAAATGAAATAAACTATAAATTTGCAAACACGCTTGAGGGACGCACCAAACAGTCCGCGCACAATTTATAAATATGCAGATCAAATATTAAAAGGAGAGCCACAAGATCATCCCGGAACGACCAAAGAGTGTACACTTGCAGACTCGACTAAGCTCTCTACTTTCTAGGTTTTTAGTATAGATTGTGGAGGGTGGAATAAAAACTTGAAGGAACAAAACTTACCACACTTGGAGTCGAAACATGTTGGGCTTATTCAGCCTGGACTCGACAAGCTATAAGTATCAGGATGTCCACAATTCTGGAGTTGTTTAGTAAAGACAAGCTGAGATCTACTTATTACGTATTGATATTTCTAAGTTTATTTTTTAGATTTTCTTAGAAAGTTTAGGTGTTTTAAAGCTGGAATTGATTACTTTTTAAACTTCATTTAAGATCATTAGCGAGAGTAACTTTGTGAGATTATAAATTACTGTCATCATATGACTTACGTGCAAGACAGTTTAGGAACTTAAAACACGAACAATCAGTGAAAACTGCTAGGCCTACTGGTTCCCTGATTCATTTCAGTTCTTCTCTGTTCCATAAGACGAGTATTTTAATTAAAAAATAATTTTAGTTTAATTTTATAACGATAGTAACTTAGTAATAACGGGGTTTGTGAGTAATTGAGACGAAAAACTTAGAGATAGACCATAAAGGTGGAATTTAAAGCAAATATATTATATTATTATCTTCTCTACAAGCACCACCACACAGGATTCTTTCTTTAAGGTTAAATCATAGAAATATAACAAGAAACTGAGATTTATTCAATATTTTCAGATAACACACTTTTCCTTGCGTCTATTTTTCTACTTGACCAACTGGAAATAATTGTTCTTTACAAGTTTATTAGACTGTGTAAACGGTGCTATAATTTTCTTGAAATTATGTAAAACTGTTGTCTGCTCAAGAAAATCTTATCATTCCAAACTCAATGACTCCTGCTAACCTGACCATACTAAAATACAGACTTCGTTTTCTATTACGTCTAACTTTTAGGAGCCAAAAAAAAATATAAATTCGGCTCGATTTCCGCTGCCATGTTCTAATCCTCAGCGATGCATAAATATTCCCTAACGCCAGAATTGTGAGGATAATTTTGCAGCAGACATCTGCACCCTATTTCCCCGTCTGTCAACCTGTCTAGTGTTTGTCGTGAGCCCGCAGCGGTGCACTGGCATCGTCTCAGAATAAATATTCAATGTTTTCATTCAATTTCTCGCGACCGCCCCCTGACTCCCTTCCCCACTCCGGTTTGCAACCGGACCTCAGATATAGAAGTTGTTGGAACACCGACAAAGTGATATTCAATGAATTGACTGCTCCACTGTCGGATTGCATCGAGTACAATTTTTATTTATTTGTATTGAATAACTTTGTAAAATCTGTTATTTGCTTTGAGTGTAGCATTACTTAACGTTAGTATTGCATAGCGTAGGTATGCGTTGTATGTATGGATCGCTTACAAAATAATACCAAATTACATAACTCATGGTGATAGTATAATTTATATTCTTATTAATATAAATAATGTGGCAAAATGCAGTGTTATTTTTATTTATAGTACACGCAAATAGGCAGATGTGTAATGTATTTATGTTTAACGACATAAGTTTAGAATATAAGTGACCCAATATAGTATAAGCGGACACATTCTTGTAACCGATTTCATTCGTAATATACGCTCGGTATTGATCAAAACTCTTTTATTTCACCAAGACTCATCACCCTGATGGACATCAGAGCTTATGCCTTATGTATGGATCGAAGAGAATAGCTTTGACCAAGAAATAATCAATTTCGGAAAAATAAAGAAAACAGAGAAAAGAACAGAACAGGATAATTCTGTCACCCGTTTCTAAATGATTGAGCCATGTGACTAAAGCTGAAACGAGATTCATTTTCAAAATAGTAGAAAAGCGAGGTAAAAAGAAGAACAAGTCTTTCTTCCGACGCTGAAGTGACTTTCAACAATATGGCCGCCTAGTCCCATACTAATCAAATTAAGAACACAAATTGTGTATATTGTGTAATAATATTTTTTTAAACTACCCTAATAAGTAATTTAAAAAGTATTGAGTAAAAACTTTTTAACGGAAAATTATAACAATGTTACAGCTTACTAAAAGTTTGTAATAGATTAGCCTCAATAATTTTGGTGGATATAATAAATTATTATGCCTG